TTCGTTCCTTCGTTCCTTCGTTCTTTCCTTCCTTCCTTCCTTCCTTCCTTCCTTCCTTCCTTCATTCCTTCCTTCCTTCCTTCCTTCTGTCATTCATTTTTGATTTAGAATCGTTGCAATGTTGACTAAAGTCATGGAAAACTGACTAATTATCATTTTCAAAAGGCGTTTGGTCGCTGGCCCAATATCAGAAGATGATCCATATCTAAAAGTGTGTCATCCTGCCAAGTTTCATGCTTTTATCACAAAGTGAACGATTTTTGGCTTCACAGCTGGACTAATATCTCCATTTCGAATTTGGCAACGGGGAATATCTGGGGAACGAAATCAAGTTGGGTGCAAATGACAGAGCTGTTAGCTTGCTTCGACCACCTCATCCTTGGCAGTCACGTGGGTCTTCTCTTTTCGTCGTTTTTAGAACAGCTCTGCTCTGCCTTAAAATGACTTCATGACCTGAGTTTTGGTATCAAAGTAAGGTTCCTAGTGGGATTTTGTATCACTGATATCAATCTCCAGCGGCGGATTATGCAGGCTCTGCTCCTCGGCTGTAGGAGATGTGCAACATTGAATCTTGATACTGCATATTGTATTTATTACATTCTTATAGTATTACAAAAATAGTTATAACTAGCATAGCATAGCTAAATTTACTGAGAAATTGGGAATGCGTGAAGAGAAAATTGTGAACGCTTTAAATACTATTAGATCGTGCAAACATTTAACTGACTATCTACATTATAAATTGGACTCGGTAACATCGCTAAACCGTAACAGGAAAAGTACATGTACTAGAAAAGATGATCTAATCTGGATAGTACCGTGAATGGCTGAGAGGGTAATTTGAGATCACAGTCACGGGTGAGAAAGCGACTGGGAACGACAAATTTAAGAACTGGTTTAAAAGACGCCCGTGTTAAGCGGGAGAAAGCGCAAATCTGTGTTGTGGCACAGTTTCATTCAAGGGTAAATTATTTATGAACCCTAAAAGTATAAAGACTTCACGAAAGTATGAAGACTTGACGAAGGAGTAGAAGATAAAAATGACGATGATGATGAAGAACCTAGACTGCAAAACAGTCGTTTTCGGACGTTTCGGAAGGCGCGAGTGCCGTGAGCGCGATTCTAACGTGTGAAGCGTGCGAGCCTCATACGCCCGTAGGGCGTGTGAGGCGAGAAAATTTTTTAGCGTCTCTCCCCATTCTCCTTCGCCGTTTTTATACTAGCTCCAGACCTTTCGTTCGAATATTAACCGTCGCTCGCGTTCGCAAAAAATACGATTGTTTTGCAGTCTATGAAGAACCAGACATTATCATTGGGTTTTTATATTTTTGTAAAATGGGGTATGAAATATTAACATACATTGATTGTTAAGTGCATCAGGTATGATAGTCTAAAGATGAATGACAAAAAGTACGTATTAACAGCATTGCATTGAAAGGATCAGTACTCTATAACACTTTTGCCATTTAGAAAGTGCTCCTTCATGTTTGCGTGTTATTCAAAGAGAGGTTTATGGTGTAAGGTCACGAAACCACAACATGAAAGTTTCAATTCAGTCAAGTAGAGTTGTTTAAAAGCTGAGAGCTGTTTGTTCGGCGAACGTATTTTTGTCACGCACAGGGCAGGTGTACAACTGTGTCAAAGTGATACAACATTAAGATACGTGTGTAATATTGGATGCCTATCATGTCAAATATACACAAAGATGCTCTGATAAAAAAAAGAAAAAGGCTTTTAAGACAACAAGCTGGAGCGAATTGGCAACGAGAGTGTTTTTAGGCCTTTTCTTTCTGAGTGATTTCCGCTCAAGAAAGAGGACTTTTAAATACAAATCTTTATTCATAAAAAAGAAAAATAACTTATACCTATTTCTGCTTAGCCCGGAAAAACTTAATCGCGTTCTATATTCCGGCTAAGGCCTTCAAGTTAACGCTGCTCCAGTTTCCAATGTTTGCTGAGGTTTTCAGGTTTGGTTAAGCGATATACTTTATCTACTAATGTATGCTTAAAACGAGGAAAATTAATCCAGAACAATACATGTATGTGGGGAGAATATCCTTGATATTTTGGCCGGATTCTATCATGAACGGCGTTGTATGCCGGCTGTACAGATCCTAGTTTAAATTCACATTTAAGGACCTTCACTAGTAATGCTAGCAAAACGGCCTCAATTAAAACTGTCAAATGCCAGGTGCACGCAAACCTGTCAGTGGAATACAAGTTGTATTAGCATCGTAACTCGCTGCTCATAACGAACCAATTTATTTTGTCGTTGCCTGCTGAAGTAACCGGCCTGATCCTTAGTTGCATCGATCCAAAGAGTAGAATTCAAAAATTCTTTGGTAGCAAAGGCTAAATATAATGATACAATGAAAGCGGCTAACTGAGTCTTTTTAAGAGAAATTGAGAGAAATGTTTTAATGATATGTTTGCTTTTACTTGTTGATGATTGTTTCGAGTTGGACTAACAATATCAACATACTTTAATTGGTCCTTTTTATTACTACGCCGGCCAAATATTACATCCGTTTAAGCTCGAGAACGAACCTTTTTTTTTGACCATATGCGTTTTTTAAATTCAGTCACAAATTCAGATTAAGATTAATTATTTAGCCTGTCCATCTCATAAGTATAACATTTTCTTGGCTTTACAGTAGCCTTTGTCAAGTTAAAATAATTATTTAAAATGTTACGCATAAATAGCTTGGATGAAAAAGAAATATCTTCTGTTATAGCTACATGTAATTTTCTGTCTGAGTTAGTATATGTTTGAATCCTTAAACATCTAGCTATCCTAACAAGAAAAACGTGGACTTAATTTGGTGATGAATTCATGTCCGCAGCCGTGTAGGCTAACACTGTCCATAGCCAAGGTAAAAACATCGATTCCAGCGAAGCAGGGCAATTTGTTAACAAATCTATTTTCATTTCAAAGCCTGGATCAGATAATAAGAAAAATCAGCGAGTTCAATCTCCCGTTTTCAGCGACATCTTAGGAGCTTTAGGTATTCCACTCGGAACGACCTGTTCATGATGCCGTAAATGATGGGGTTTATGGCGCTGGAGGTGTAGGCAAAATAAGTGTACGCCAGGTACACTCGGCGGTCGAACCATTCATCTCTCGTGATGTCCACCAAATCAATAACAATGCAAGGAATCCAGCAAATAAAAAATGCTGAGACGATTGCAAACACAGTGCGAGTGACAACAATCTGTGCTGGATTTATGCTGTTAATAGATACACGGGACATCTTTCTGGCGGCCAATCGTCGAGAGTGCCTTCTGATGGATCTAAAGACCTTGGTATAACACCATACGATCACTATGGCAGGTAGAAAGACGAACGTAACGCTGGAGAAGATGGTGTATATTTGGGTGCTTATTAAGCTACGATACAAATTGACGCAGATTGTCTTACCAGGGTGGAACACGAACAAGTTCCCATGCTGCGCGAACGTTATGCTTCCCAAAATCCCGACGGACAGCAAACTTGCGGAGAGTATTATCAAAGTTGTGTAGCCAGGGGTGAAGATCTTTTTGTACAAATCTGGTTTTATGACTCGAAAGTATCGATTTACAGCAGTGATTGCCATCATTTGAAGCGAAAGAAACGCCAAAAAGTGGGCGAGAAATCCTTGAATGTGGCAAAGAAGATCTCCAAAGATCCATTCTCCGGCAATGAGAGATCCTTCTGATAGTGGCATACAGGTAAGCGACATGATAATATCACTGACGGCCAGCGTTAAAACAAACATGTTTGTTACCGATCTTAGGTGGTTGTTCTTTAAGAAAGCGATGCAGAGCAGCGTATTTCCAAACAGAGCTGTTAGGTTTATGAGGAAGAGAGGTCCAACATCTGCAAGCACTTGACCCATCGAACGGTTCATCAGAGTGTTGGGAAAAACCGCTCGGGATTCGTTGGGCTGAGACACGTTCGCTTCCATTGTGAACACTGAGTTCCTTGTCAACAACGACGAGATAGTTTCCCCAAGAATTAGTTGTACAAACTGAAATTCGTTTATGGTAATCTTTCTTAAGGCCCAGATGTTGTAGAGACCTTGCTGCGTTCGGTTGTGCCAACTTCACCGTTGTGAAATATCTCGGAAGAACCCGTTAGCAGTTCAATACAGATCCTACGTCAAGTTATTATAAACCATATGATATATGTATTTTTAGCTCAGAGAAAATTCACGAAACGAAGCGGATAACTTCCACATGTATAGAACTATTACGCACAAGGAAGTTGAAATTACTTCTCTGACGTAGATATTGAATGGATTGACGACTCAATTGTAAAATATAGTCCACCTTGCGGACAAATTGCCGCAGCGCTTGACAGAATGGTATTTACATATCAGTTTGTACCAAAATAATGAATACTATTTTCTTTTGTTTATTTTTAAGTGACGGCGTTTGTTTATGAAAAGTTGGAAATTTGCACTGAATTGAAAACGCAGTAGAAAACAAAAGATTGATCGCGAAAATCGATCTTCCATATTTCACGATCGCAATCGGCTGCTTCAGCAGATTTCGTCTTGAATAATAATAATAACGAAAAAAAGAAAAAAAAATTGCGGACATGGATGAAAAGCACGTCTTGTTGTGTGTGTTTGAAATTTCGCTTAATTGTAAATGTGATAAAGTGAATAACCATGAGCTGACATTTGCAATAAACCGGCGACATAACTGAAATATCATAAATACACCACCAAACCAAAGAATCAACTTCGTGGCTCTTTGTAGACAAAGCTGTCGGTAGTACACGTAATGTCATTGGATTTTCTAAAGAAAAAGAAGATCGACTACTGTGAAGCTCGGCAAATCAAAAGAGAATTAGCCGGAGGAAACATAAAGAAATAAAATCAATGGAGTGTTACAACGCGCCAAAAACTATTAAGGGACGACATAACGCTTACGTATACAACGAGAACGGCATTGGAAAAAAAATAGTCAAGCTTATCTTCTTCAAATTGAGTCACCGCTTTACCCAGAAATACGCTGTTAAAGCAAATATTAATAAAGATAAAAGCCGCACTAGTTTGAAATTAATTTGCGGACTGAAGGTAGTCCCTTAAGCTCCTACGATAAGGTTCTCATTTGAACTGATTTTTGCTGTTTTTACCTGGAAAAAAAAAATTATCCTGTTTGTCTTGCAAATTGACATTGAAAAGTATTCTTGTTTACACTTTCGTTTAAAATTCTTGATGATCGATTTCGTGACTTTTGCATTGAAAATTCATCGACTCTCCTCCTGACGTAAAATAAGTTTCCTTCGAGAAACGGCTGGAGAAATTCTACAGATCAAAAGAGATCATAAAAGATCAATTAAGTTGTAGAATTACCGCATCAGTCTCATCCCTAACAGAATCAACACAGTTTCGGTCACAAAATGAAATTCAAATTCAGCTTCCTGTGATTTATTTTTCTTTATTATGTGAAGTAATTTTCCTGATGGCATAGTGCATTCCATAAAAATAAGTTACTCAAAAGAATTCTCTTACGGAAATTTATCAAGATGCTTGCAGAGGTTGTGGTCTAACCTTTCAGAAAACGATTATCATGTTGCATAGGGTTAGCGACAGAACCAATTCTTTTGAATCTCGCCGTGTTATTATTTCACTGCTCGTGGGTGTCGGAAGTTTTCTTTCATAGATGGCAGGAGCTTATCTTAAATTACCGTTAATAGCAAGAAATACAATCATTTAGGTCCTCAGAGATTGCAGCCTTTTCAATAGCCTATTGACGAATCCAGACTTTTTAATATCCAAGAACTGAATCTAGAAAGATCAGTTTGGTGTAGACGTGAATGAAAACGTTAATTGATGTTGTGGAAAAATAGTCCTACGAATACACACCTGGATTATCAACATGAGAACCCACACATAGCAAAATTACGCCATAGTATTGCATGCGTTATTAGACCGTATTTCCGTAGTTTTTTTTTTTTGACAGGCAAGTAGGTTTGTTCTGCTCCATGTTGAAGTGTGTACATCTAATAACATACGCTTAATAAGCTAGGAGGCGTTGAAGTTGTTTAATATAATTAATGCGGACCTTGTAATGAAGTAAAGAATGTTCGACGTCCAAATAAATACTGAATGAAATGAAGTGATTTATTAAAATTAAATATAAATTATGTTTAACTTTCCTGTGATAAATTGGGGACACTAACTGAATATAAATGTATAATGCAAGCCCACTTTGGCTCTTCGAGGCATTGGTTCGTCGTTGAATATGAATACCTTAGTTATGTATGCTATAAAACAGAAATTAAACTGTCCGTGTAGCGACTGTCAGAGAATGTTTAATTTAGTTAACAATAAGTCAGATTTATCGTGATCCGTCCAAATAAATACTGAATTAAATAAAAAAGCGACGTTATTAAGTTTAAATATAAATTATGTTTAAATTTCCTATGATAAATTGGGGACACCAACTGAATATTAATATAAATGTATAATGCAAGCCCACTTTGATTCTTAGAGGCACTGTTTCGTCGTTGAATATGTATACCTTAAGTATGTATGCCAAAAAAACAGAAATTCAACTGCCCGTGTAGCGACGTGTCAGAGAATCGTTAGTTTAATTAACAATAAGTCAGAAGTTTCCGTCTGACTTTTCCCAATGCTTTTATCTGACAGTTGTAGAATCCATCGAACTTGACAAATGGGGAAAGCCTTTTCAAGCCACTCCCCCTCCCTTTACATCCGGGAATTGTTGAGCTATAACGCTGAGGCTATAAGAATGACATCAAAACACCTTAGATGTATATTGTCTGCAGTGAGCAGTCGTTCTGAAAAAGAGACAAACAGCAACTCAGAAGTGGAAGTAAAGTCTGCACATGAGCCAAGTGGCCCATAAGGCCGGCGCTTATCCCGGTTTCTGTAGCGTGAAGCGAATAAGAGCATTTCTACTCCCCCCTGGATGGGATGCTAGTCCATCGCAGGGTTACCCCTCAACATTAAATTTGCCAGTGGCTATTTATACACCTGATCGAGTGGAGAGAGTAAACACAACACAATGTTCCCAGCCAGGACCCGAACCCAGACTGCTCAAAATAGAAAAGAAATACAAAAATCAAATAACAGGTTGTTTACATAGACTGCTTATAAATGTTAAAATGGATAATAATTAATTTTGATTGGAACTGGAACATTGTTATTATATTTTGCGCATGATGTAGTGTCAAAGAATAACAAGGGGCAGTTTCAAAATGAAATCATTAAATGAGAGTTCACCATATTTACCAGTCAGTCCAAAATTGACACCAGTTAGTCACTGGTGTTGGTTATAATATATGTATAATATTAGTGAGTCGGCAGTGCATTTTGGGTCAAGGTAAATTGGTTATGGTCCTTGTTCAACATTATGAAACGGCTGTATAACAATTATGCCAAAAATACAATAAATGATCTTGACATTTATTTCTGACAATCAACTTGAGAATGCCAAGACTGCCAAGAGTATTTTGCCCAATTTCACTTACGTGAGACATGGATATTGGCAAAATTTTGTTTACTTTAAGCTATTTCAAACACATTAAATGATTTGATTTTAACTTGCTGGCAAATGGGACATCTTTAGAAAGAAAAGGATTTCCTTCAATATTATAAGAACCATTTCAGACAGTTTTGTTTCATTCT